AAAGAGACCCCAGTGTTTACAATGAAGCCCTGCCTTTGGGTATAGGACTGTTTTTGTGATTTGTGAAGATCAAGAAATGAGGAATTGTTGCTTTAGAAACCTTGTCTGAGATGATGTTTTCCTTTTTTTTCCTCTTCTAAACAAGTATATGTATTTGAAAATTCACATCTACATTCTGTCTGGACTATCCGGTCATGTTTGTATGATGCAATCAAAACCCTCATCTTATGGGTGATGTTTAAGGGACCATTGATGTGACTCCTAGCTATTTTCTTAGGTATTTTTTCCCTCAAAATTCTAACTCCTAAGTTCTTGGATGTGATATAGGTATGACCCAAATTTCCTCGTAAATGAATTAGTTCCTAGTTTGTCCTGCACCTATGATTCTACTTGTCCATTCAGTCTGTATTTTAATTTTCAGGCATTCAAATCTTAGTTATTACTGGTGCACCATAAACAAAATTCGCTTGCTGGGGATATGAAAACTTGACATAATGACATGGTAGGGTATAGACTGGGGAGAGACAAGCATGATAAATTATAGCTTTTATGTTAGAACAAGCTTATCATTGATTAAAGAATCAGTGCTAGGCAGATAGTTATTCTGTCAGAATTAGCAATAATGACCTTTTCTATTGACATTCTGTTTCATCTATCTCCCTTTGGTTCTTAAAAGGTCTTGGGCATGATCCTAAGAAACCCTAGGTTGTGCATTTTGGTTGTCTGAAGTATATTTAATCCTTATTGAATAATCTGTTATAGTTATTGGTGCCATGGTTACTTTCTTTTCTAGACTAGTGAGTTTGATGATGGCATGGAATGCTATGGTTTATATTTCCAAAAAAAAAAAAAAAAAATGGAATGCTATGGTTTACCATATTGAATGGAAAACTTTAGTTCTAATAGCTATAGCAGATACAGCTAGATAGGTGGCATTTTGCATGCCTACACGTGCAAGGCAATATATTGCTGGGTGACTACTTGTGGAAAAGATGCGAAATAATTCTTCATATCGCGAAAACACGTACTTCTTTCTTATATATTTGGTTTGATTCCCCTTTATGATTTCAGTACTTATTTTTACCATATAGGAGTCTGTTTCTGAAGATGATAGATTTTCAAAATTAATCTTCTTTCTTTGATACATGTGTAGAATTGTTAGTTGGTTGAATTTCTTGAGTTGATCTTTTATTGATTTGCGAGTAATCATTCAGACACTTTCTACGCACAGGGGATGTTAACAGTATTACAGTTGGATCCAGAACTAATATACAGGATAATTCCCTCGTGCACGTGGCAAAGTCTAACCTAAGTGGAAAGGTGCTTCCAACCATAATTGGTGACAATGTTACAGTAGGTTAGTTATATAAGGCTTTCTATCTTGGTTTTTGAATTGAATTTATTCATCTTTCTACTCATTTTCTGGATTGTGATTCGGAAGTTGGATTGAGCAGGTCATAGTGCTGTTCTGCATGGCTGTACTGTTGAGGATGAGGCATTCGTTGGCATGGGAGCAACGCTTCTTGATGGTGTTGTAATTGAGAAGCATGCCATGGTTGCTGCTGGGGCTCTTGTGAGACAGAATACGAGGATCCCTTCTGGAGAGGTATATTTTTAATTAGCATTTTTATAAGTATGTCTGTGCATGCAGATGCGAGTTTACGGCTGTATGACTTGTAATACCAGCACTGTTAAAGAAAAGTGAGGGTGTTGACTCTTTCATTACACTATATGCGGATAAGTAATCCACACAAAATATAAGTGGAATTCATTTGCAAATTAATATTTTTATATTTGTGTCCATTCCAAACAAAAAAATTAATTTTGAAGTGAATAGCATATGAAATTGAACAAATAGATTTAGATATGATATAATTTGCTGGAATATAGAAATGAAATTTTGATTTGTAAAAAGTAAAACAAGAATTTTTTTTTGAGAAATTTGGAAAAAACTCAGAAATATCTTTAATATTGTTGTTATAGTTCGCTCAAATGGTCATCTAAATAGAATAAAGATTATATTTTACAATATAGTACTTTTCTGGATAGGTTTTCTCATAAACAGTAGTTTCCTATTTATGCCTGTTTATAGCTATTTCCTTACGGTAGCAAAAAGACACTATAAATGCCCTTCAGTCCAACAAATAAGAAAGTTATATTATTTTCATCAAGATGGTATCAGAGTAAGGTTTTAGAAAAAAAAATCAGAGACAATTCTGTTTCAGAAAATGAACATTGTGTTAAAAAACCGTAGATGATGTTGGAAAAACAGAGTTTGAACACAATACTTCTAAGTATATTAACTATTTTATTTCAGAAAAGAAACATCATGTTCCAAAATCCTAGATGATGCAAGCAAAAGAGAGGTTGAACATAATACTTAGAGAACATTAACGAAGAATCAAACTTAGAAATCTCAGATCTAAAGAATAATTTCTTTATCTAAAAAAAAACAAGAAATCTCAGATCTTAAGAATCATTCAACATCTGGATAATTTTTGTATAATAACACAAAGAAAAATCCAACTACCAAGCTAGTGTAGCTTATTTGTAGTTACTGAACATAATCAAAATATGAGAACTTAGGTCTACCTTGGAAATCAACTGAGTTGAAAAAACGAATTATCAACATCTGTATAATGTTTGTATATAACCAAACAAAAAAAATCCAATACCAACTAAGCTAGTGTAGCTTATGTGTAGGTACTGGAGATAATAAAAATAAGAGAACTTAGGTCTACCTAGGAAACCAACTAAGTAGAAAAAGCTAATTAAACAATACACTACAGTAGAAACTAACTAGAAAGGGAACATCAAAACTTCTTCTCCTGTGAATATGCAATTTCCAATGATACTTCTTTTCCTTTATTGGTTTTGCATCATTCTCCGCCACGACTTGACTTGGCAAAGTAGATTGAAGATGTCATTTCAAGAAATTTATTTTCAGAAATCCAAGAAGTACATAATCTTGGAGTTCATGCCATTTAACTAGATAGTGACAAGTGCCATGGTTGGAAGAAGTAACAATTGGTTCACTGATGATAACTTCAAATCTCCTCTGCTGGTTGTGATATTGAAGGAACCTTAGGCAACTATTTTCCTGTGGGAATAGTTGAAGACCAGAGAGGCTCCAAAGTGTCTCAGTAAAGTGTTAAATCTCGATTAAAAACACAATTAATATTCAAATGGGTGTAAGCAAGTTAAGCAATTATGCATTGGACCAACAGATTGAATAATGGGAAAGGGAAGCGCTTAAGAATGTGATCTTTTTTTCCAACATTCATAAGATATGATAAAAAAATCATGCCATTGCTACCAAATGAAATTGTGTAATTTTGCAATGCAAATTTGCAGCAAGTTTATAGTCGATATTCTTTAAGGCGGTATGTCACTTGATTTTAAATATGCAAATCATAATATGTTTGGCAAATGATTCTACTGGCTTAGACATTCAGCTACAGGAGGTAGTGGGAGAAGGGGAACAACCATGAACAATCTTTAAAGGATTCTTACTGGTTGACCTATTACTAGAATCTTTTGCAGACAATTCCAACAGCTGAAAAAATTAGATTCCATTTGTGTTGTTTCTCTCTAACGAGATGCATGAGTTAGTTTCTGTTAGGGTCCCTGCTAGTGGATCTCGTTACGGGTATTTGGACATAGAAAGCAATAGGTATTCAAGAATGTTTTTGCATTTTTCTAGAATGTTTTTGAGTTTTTCTTCCTTTGCCTATGTTGACTTCTGAGTTTTAGTACTTTTCAAGAGAAACCTTATGTCTCTTGAGTAAAAAGTATTCGAACCTTTTTATAAATTTTCCAACATGCATCTGTCTGCAAGAGACAGGTCTTCTCATAACAAGGGAGGTTAGTTATCTGGAGAAATTATTTCCAGATTTGAATCTTATCTTCCCTTTTGTCCTTATGCTAATATCCTTAGTCATTGGAACCATTTCTGACTGCACCTCCGCTGTGGGTAGAAAGCAAAGGAGAACCGGCACCTTCTATTGTGCAACTAGGCCCCTGTTTCTCCACAAACATGGGAACCCACTTCTCTTCCTCAGCGGCTTGTTCTTTGCTTTTTTAATTTTCATACCTTGTGAGATTTTGCTCATCATCCTTACCGGACAGCAATAGTTTTGCCACCACATCTGCCATCCTCTTCCACCCTGAACCATCTTTTTCGTTCTTGTATACACTCCCTGTTTCTGCCTTATACCCCCACAAACCTCGAAAGAGACAAAAATCGACCTCTCCTGTTTGTACAGTTCTGCTAGCAGGTAGCCGCTTGCCATTGGACACACCAGAGCATAAAAGATGCCTTCATTCAGAGTTGTATCCAGACAATTGTGTGCCCATTTCGTTTCCAGTGCTTCAAGAGAGAGCTCATATAATTGCACCTCCCTCTTTTCTTCTATCCTTGTCCCTTCTCTCTCCACATCTTCTGCTCATGTTGAACACTTTCCAATCCAATGGAAATTCTGACTTTGGTTTGCAGTTGAATCCCATAATAATTACATGAAGGTTAGTCGAATTAATTTAATTGAATCAACATGTCATCTGATTCAGTTTAGCATACTCAAGGATTCAACGAAGAGTTTGTATATCAAACTGCAAAATTCTTAACTTGTGATAATCTTGCCTTCTTCTTTAGTGTCTTCTGGAAAGTTCCTTGTTGTAGTGTCCCTAAAATTTCCATGGTTTAATGATGATCGTGTGATGTAGAATTGTATGAAAAATTAAAAAGTTCTCTTCCCCCTTTCTGTTGATGTGGTACACTGTCCCAGTGGAGTTCTGTGTCGTTGATTGATTGATGAGCCATTTGTATATCAGC